AGCAATTTTAGTGAGCGGTATGCCAAAATCTTCCATACTCTGCGGCAAGCGATTATCATGTTTTTGGTAAGATGTAAAAGGATCTGAGTGGCCGACGATTCCGAAAAGATGAGGAGATGAAAGTAGCTGTCTCCAAGTAGTTATAAGTATTGGATTGAGGTAATTTCTACGCATTCGGAATTAAAAAATTGGTTGACTGTTCCGAGAAGTGTTTACAGCCTCTTGAAAACTCTCTGGAAAAGTAAACATATATAGTATGTTGTCATAATCGTGTTGCCTATACAGGAAGACCGGGCAGGAAACGTCAAATATATGCACTTCAGACAATTTTAAGTATATTTTGTCTAATAAACTACTTATATATTTTGAGTGGCTGAACTGCAAGAAGCACTCAAACCTGGGGGGGGGGACGATTTTGGGCAAAATTTTGCATTGCAAAAGCATAGACAATCGAGAAATATCTAATATTTTTATTAGTTCTAAAATTAATGAATAGATTTGTCCAAGAAGAAAAATAAACTCAAAATTATAAAGCAGGCAATCTGTCTAAATTGCTTTTCAATTCTGTGATTCTTTTCTTTTAGACGAAATATACTAAATTCTTTTAAAAATAATAATTTTCATGTTCCCGAGTGTTTCTATGCTTCTACAATTCAACTTTTTGCCGAGAAGCATTTTCTCTACCAACTTTTGAGTGCGTATTCCGGGCCAAATATTTGTAATATCGCTGTAGTCTATTAGACAAAATATGCTTTATATTGTCATAAGAGCTTATTCTTGGAGTTTCAACGACTTCCCTGGACATCGTGTGAAGGGTGGTGAGCGTGTGTGTGCTGGGCGCAGGTTCGGGTTGCACGTGCGCCAGCCGGCGCCGCGCGCGGCGGGCGAAGGGTGGTGCGCAGCGCTGGCATCGTTCGACGCGCGACTGTGGGCGGCGGTGGCGGCGGCGGCAGGAGCCACCGCCCTCACGTTGCACACACTCGGCGCCGACCCGCTCTACGCGCTCGCGCTCTTCTGCCAGCAAGGTTTGCTCTGCCACCCTCCTTCTCACTCGCTCTCGCCACCTCACGTGAACTGCTCGCCCTCGGCGCCGACCCGCTCTACGCGTTCGCGCTCTTCTGCCAGCAAGGTCTGCTTCCACCCTCCACCTCACTCGCCCTCCCCCTCACTTGCACTGCTCGCCCTCGGCGCCGACCCGTTCTACGCGCTCGCGCTCTTCTGCCAGCAAGGTCTGCTCTGCCCCTCTCCCTCTCACTCGTCCTCGCCCCCTCACTTGCACTGCCGCCCTCGGCGCCGACCAGGCGAGGCGAGGCGAGGCGAGGCGGAGGCCGAAGGGAGGCGAGCGAGGCGAGGCGAAGGCGAGGCGAAGGCGAGGCCGGAGCGAGGCGAGGCGAGCGAGGCGGAGGCGAGGCGAGGCGAGGGAGCGAGTGGGCGAGGCGAGGCCGAGGCGAGGCGAGGCCGACGGCGAGAGGCGAGCGAGGCGAGGCGAGGCGAGGCGAGGCGAGGCGAGGGCGAAGGGCCGAGGGGCGCGTGGAGGGATCCTACGAGCGCAGGGCTGCAGACTGCGAGCACGAGGAGGCGAGGGGCGGGAGGCTGCGGGCGGAGGCGGACGTGGGCGAGGCGAGGCGGGCGCGAGGCGAGGAGGCGAGAGGCGAGGGCGAGGCGGACGGCGACCGAGCGTAGGCGAGGCGAGAGGCGGGAGGCGAGGCGAGGAGCGAGCGCAGGCGAGTGCGAGGCGAGGAGCAAGGGCGGGGGCCGAGCGGGAGGCGAGGCGGAGGCGAGCAGGAGGCGAGGGGCGTGGCGAGGGGGCGAGGGGGTGCGAGGGCGCGAGGTAGGCGAGGCGAGGGCGAGTGCGGGGGCGCAAGGCGAAGGCGAGGCGAGGCGAGGCGAGGCGAGGCGAAGGCGAGGCGAGGCGAGGCGAGGCAGGCGAGGCGATGGCGAGCGAGCGAGGCGAAGGCGAGGCGAGGCGAGCGAGGCAGGGCGAGGCGAGGCCGAGGCGAGGGCGAGGCGGAGGAGCGAGGCGATGGCGAGGCGGAGGCGAGAGCGAGGGGCGGGCGTGCGTGCGTGGCGTGCGTACGTGGGGGCTGGTGGGGGACGTGGCGCCACCTCCCCGCCCTAGGAAGTGTTGGGCTGCGGGTGCGTGTGGAGCAGCGCAGGGGCGAGGGCGGGCGGCGCAGGCGGAGCGACGCGGAGCGAGGCGAGCGAGGAGGGGATGGCGATGCCGAGCCGTAGGCGGAGCCTGCGTGGGTGGGTGCGCTGCGGCTGCGGCGCGTACGGTGTAGGTGGGTGGGGCGGTGGGCCGCGTCGCCCGCCTTGACGTGGTTTGTGGGTCCGTGTTGGAGCAGCGAGGGCGAGGCGGGTCGGGCGGCGCGGGCGGCGGGGGCAGCCGGGGCGT